TTAAAATTCTTGAATGCACAAAACACATCACTTTTGGATTTCAACATTTTGATCCATATTTTTTTTGAAAAGTCATCGACAAATGAAACAAAATATAATGCACCTCCATAAGATGTAGTTGGTGAAGGGTCCCATACACCCGAGTGAATGTAATCAAGTTTGCACTTACTTGTATGGTTCTCGACCTTGAAAGGTTATTTATGTTGTTTCCCATAGACACAATGCTCACAAAATTTGGATCTATAAATTTTAAGTGTAGGAATAAAATTCTTTTTTATAAAGACCTCCATACCCTTATCACTCATATGCTTCAATCTTCTATGTCATAGGCGAAATGAAACTTCTTCACCTTCAACCACAGAATTCATTCATCATTTATTATTGTACTTCACAGTAACTTGTACAAGCTTCCACTTTCATCACAATTAGAGCCCCTTTTGATACTTTGATTACTCCACATTAACCGGTGAACTTATAACCTTCCGAATCTAGAGAAGAGAGAGAAATCAAGTTTTTTTTTGTTCCTGCACATGCCTAACATCCGTAATTGCCTGAATAGTCTCATCAAATGTCCTTAGGTGAACCAAACCCATTCCAACCACCTTGCTAGTGGAAATATTTCCCATCGATACCGATCCTCCTTCACATGACTCATATCAGTCAAACCATAATCTATGGGGGCACATGTGATCTGTAACTCTACTATCAAGTATCCAATTTTGATAAAATATTGAATTATATTCCACCATCAATACTTCATTTTCAATGAACCAGAATGTAGACTCTTCAATTTGATTTATTTCATTCTTGGATTCACTTGGCTTTTCACCTCCCGCATTAGGAGCTTTGGAAGAATTCATTCCATTTCTTTTAAAACAATTATTATTTATATGACCAAGCTTTCCACAATTCCAACACATATTTTTGTTATTGGGCCATTTAGATTTTGATTGAAATCTTGAATTACTTCTTGAATGATTCCTCGATGAATCACCCCGTTCATTTGATCGACTTCTTGCCACAAGAGCTTCCATATTCGATTCTACCGAACGTTTGAAAGATGCTTTCTTTCGAAATTCATCAGCAAGTAGGGCACTACACACCGAACTCAAATCAAGAGAATCATCTTTACTACAACTCAATGTCGTAACAAGGTTACCATAGGATTCCGACAATTAACAAAGTAAGGTGACCGCCTTATGTTCATCGTCCATTCTCACACCAATACTCTCAAGTTGACAAATGAGGTTATTAAACTCATTCAAGTGCTGTGACACATTTGCACGTTTTTTCATTTTCAAGGTATACAATTTTCTCTTTAAGAAAATTCGGTTTGTGAGAGATTTTGTTTGATACAGACTTCTAAATTTTTCCCACAAAATCTTTTGTCGTTTTTTCACCAACAATATTAAACAAAATCCATTTCACTAAACACAAGCGAATTGTGGCCAGTGCCTTCATATCGAGTTCGTCCCAATCATCATTGGTCATATTTACCGGCTTCTTATCATTTCTAAGTAATACTTTGTGTTGCCCTTGATGTACCAATAAATCTTATATTTTTAATTTCAAAATTTCAAATTTATCTTTCCCATTAAACTTCTCCACCTCAAACTTGTATGATGCCATTTTCTCAAAAATACTACATGAATTCCTTGAGCTTTAATACCACTTGTTGTAAAATAGGGATAACCCAATCACCCATTTTGAGCAAATCGGGATATCTCAAATCTCACTAAATGTGGCAAGCACTCCACTACAATGATTTCAACACTCAAATAATATGCCCAAGATGCAGTAACAAATGCAATATAATTGGAAAAAAAATAAGAACAATAAAACAAACAATATGGGAAATCTTCAAAGCACAACACAAATGAAAATAGAGAGGGACACGTGCATATACGTGGTTCACCCAAAATGGTCTACGTCCACGGACAAGATGGCAAAGGTATATTCACTATCGAGAGGAAAACTTACAAGATTGGGGTTATATAGAGTTACCTCATACAATCTCAATGAATGCTCAAAGAAGAAACTTCCTACCATAAAACTACCTATAGTCGACTCTTTTTTTTGATTCACAGATGCCGCGAAGAACTGCCGACAAAATGGCCGAAGATGAGCCCTAAATGGTGGTGCTAGGGTTTTGTTGTAAAACTCCCAATCTTCTCTACAAGCTCCCTTTCCTCTACAAAAGAGTTCACCCTTTTTTTTTTTTCCATGTTTCTCTCTCTAGAAAAACCTTTTATGAGCCTCCACAAAAAGGCTTCCTTTTAGTAACAAAAATACGCCTCACCATAGTGAGAAATACCACATGGGGTGGTGATTTGGCATCACCTTTCAACATAAAATAGGGGCAAAAACAAATATAATTTCAAATTAAGAAATTCAAAGTTTGATCTATTTTTATTTTTTGGTACATAGGAGCGCTATCTCAAAATAATATTTGCCCCCTCCGATATTGTATTTGGTGTACATAAGAAGGACAATTCGTTCTTAGGATACAAAAAAACAAAGATGTTTCTTTTGATATTCCAAAGCTTTATGCACCCGAGGTTGGAACCCACACAATAGACACCATAGTCTTGATGTTTTAGAGAGAGAAAGTGAGAAAAATGAGTAGAGAGATAAAGAGGAATTAGCCTACTAGTTTTGCTCCTTGTCATTGCAGAGAAAGGTGTGTTGTTGAGAGGCTCAAAAGTGTGTTTAAGTGTCAAGCTAGTATTGGTAGGAGGGGCCTTATTATAAGGGTTACAAGGAAGTAGCACACTTGTTGTGGTGTTGAGAGGCTCAAAAGTGTGTTTAAGTGTCAAGCAAGTATGGGTAGGAGGCCCCTTATTATAGGGCTACAAGAAAGTAGCACACTTATTGTGGTATTGTGGTGGTGGTTACAAGCACCACCCAAGTATTTTTCAAACCAAAATACCAAAAGCATGGGATTTATGAGTGAAGATAAGCAAGTCTTAAGAGTTGTTCTTTAAGGAGTGACTTCCGTAGAGAATTGTGTGTGGGTGAAACTGCCAATAGGATGGTTCAAGCTAAATTTCGATGGCAGTGTTCGAGGAGACTTGTTGATTTCTAGCTATGGGGGTCTGTTGAGAGATCACAGTGGAGGGACATTATGGTCCTACCATGGTAGGATGCATGAGTGTGAAATCAATGAGGCTGAGCTTTGGGCTTTGAAGATGGGGGTTCTAAGATCAATGTTTTATAAAACACTAGGTGGGCCTAGGCGATTGGGTAGGTCCAGGCTACCCAGCACCTAGGCGAGCGTCCAGAACATGGGCGGCCCAGTAGAAAGAAAAATATTTTTATAGTCTAACAATATAAGTATAACTGTATAACACATAAGAGTTAAGGACTTAGGACACATCAACTATACAGTACACAAGATGTTTCTTGAGCCGATTTATGTCCATTTTGTATGCTTTTCACAAAACTTGCGTCTTATGCAAGTTTTATCTAAAGGATTTCAATTGGAGCCATATTTCCAACTCAGATCACCATTTTGATTAGATCAAACGTCTCATAATAATACACGCAATCAAAATTTTTTTTTCACTAACTTTGATTGCTAGATCTCCAAACTTTCACCTCTAAGATGTTTTTCATAACTCAAAATATTCTAAAAAACCCTATAGTAGATTTACAAGACATCCAAAACTTAATCTAATATCAATGTGTGATGCTTAGTTTAATTTCTCGTAACTTTGAGAAATCTTTCGATCTTATGAAAATCACCAAAATTTAGTTCTTTTGGGTTTTTTCCCCCTTCTAAAATAGGCTTTAATGGGGTTTATATTTCAAATAAAGCTAAAACCCACGATTTTTCCCTATTTACGTTAAAAGAAAAACAAAGACCAAAAAATGCGTTCCATGATGGGCATTTTCGCCCCTGTGGGCGGTGCCCAGGGCTGGGTGTTGGGTACCTGCCTAGAAGGGTTCCCTAGAGCCTAGGTGGGCTCCTAGGGATAGCTTGCCTAATTTAGCCACCTAAGCCTAGGCGATACACCCAGGCTTTCTACACCGCCTAAGCATTGAGCAGTCTGCTTTTTAAAACAATATATGAGATTATCTCCCACTTTTCATAAGGTGATTATTGGGGAAGATTCTTCTAATGCAATCAAATGGTGTTTGCAGCTGGACTCACACCTTGGAGGCTGAATTCCATTATGGATGAGATTCTCCTGTTGTTGATTGGTTGAGAAGACATTTGTTAAGATTTCAACTTAGATGCTGATCTTCTTGCTAAGTTTGCCACCTCCTCGTAGTGCTTTTCTCCCTTTTTGTCTTCTTGTCTTTTTTTCCAATTCTTTTTCTCTCCTTCTGTTTATTTTTTCTTTAATCCTTATACTTCCCTTTATCATCTCAATGAAAAGATCGTAATTTTTTTTTTTTTAAAAAAAAAACACAAGATAAGCAATGCTTAAGGGTCAATGTGATGTAATAATATTCAAGATTTTATTGATAGTTGCAACAAAAACGGGCAAAACCTTTGCTATTGATGGTTTTTAGCCGACAAGTTGGTCACATTTATTTTAAACGGCGTTCATGATGTCACTTATTCATGAACAACACCAAGGGTGCCGTTTGGTTTAACTGGAATATCCAAGTTAGAGAGGTTTTGGCGGAATAAAGCCATTCTTGAATTTTCTTTTTGAAAGTATCTTGCCGGACCACCAAATCCGGCCAAAACCAAATTCAGGCAGTGCGTGATTCGAGTTTGACCAGCCTGAGTTTGTGAGCAATGGGGGTGCTCCATCCACCTCGTTGGCGGTCATTTTGAAGACGTAATTGTGCACGATTTAAAAATTGAATGCAATGTGTCACGTTCAAAAGATAAAACTAAAATGGAGACGGAGATGGAGATGAAACCTTAAAAAAAAAAAAAAAAAATAACAATTCTGAGAAAATTAATGGAGAGAAACACACATGGTTTGATATCTGATGTCTGAGAGAGACTGAACACGAGAGAGTGAGAGTGTGTTGATTGGTCTATGGAGTTCCTAAACGCACCCCTGTTCTTGTTTCTCTGGTTCCTTCTCTCTTCTTCCTACCCGTTATGCTCTGCAACTCCCCACCTTTCAGTTTCTAATGAAGCAGCCATTGATTACCAGGGATTCCTGAATTGGGCTAGAGAACACGAGTTGTTTGAATGGATTAAGAGGATAAGGAGACATATACATATGAACCCTGAGCTTGCCTTCAATAAGTACGAAACCAGTAAATTTATCAGAGAAGAGCTTGATGATATGGGAATCGAATATTCGTGGCCTTATGCTAAGACAGGGATAGTTGCCACTATTGGGTCAGGGGGGCGTCCCAGTTTAGCACTTAGAGCTGACATGGATGCTCTTCCTATCCAGGTGCCCTCTTTCTCGTATACATCATAACACACTCTTGTGTATGAATGAAATAGTAAGAGAGAGAGAGAGCAATCCTCTGAGCGAAGTGCTCTCCATCACTTTCTGGACAAGAAATACTTTATATGAATAATAAACTGAATTTTTGAAGGATTTATGTTGTAAAACTATTTGTTTCGGGCTTTTTACCCATCGTTTTACAAAAAGAAAAATGAATTTGTGGGGTTTGTATGTATAACTTGACGTTGTGCTGTGATTTTGTTGTGGTAAGTGATAGTAAAACTAGAATGGCTCTTTTTATTATCAAATTATTAAATCCCTATGATGATTCTTCTGATTTTTTGTCGTATAGGCAAAGTAATTTGTCATTGGAAAAGCTTAGGCCATGATCTTTAGGAGGCTGATTAATTACATTTGCTATTTTTCCCTGATCTTTTAGTAAAAACAGTAAATCGTTTGTCCACTTGAGAAATTAAGATTTGGTATTTTTGGAAAAGAGAATTGTCTGTCAATTTTCCAAAATAAAGGGTAATCATTAGTGCTGACTATTCTTGAAAAGTGTTTCTGTCCAATGCTTTTTGACAAACATGGAGGCTTTGGGTTGAGTTTTCTCCACTCTAGAGAGGACTTGAGTGTAGCATTCTTTAGAATTCCTAGGTTTATAATTACAGAAGATAAAAAAAGAATCGGATTCATATCCATTGATGAAATGGTAAGTTTCCTGCCTAACCCAGCTTACCACCAAAGTTTTTAAATAAATAGATGAATAAATAAAACCCATGGCATTTTTTATCTGCTCTAATACTAACAATTAAAAGTTTACATAGTTTATGATCAAAGAGGTGGAGTTTTTTGACTTTTTAAGGTTTGGGCTTCTTTCTTTCAATTTACCAGGTTCCTATAAATTCACTGATAGCTTCCTTTGTGATTTAGTACCATATACTGTTTCTCAATAAACCAATGTAGCTGCACCCTGTTGAATAGTTATCTTTTATAACCTACTGTAATATTTAAAAACCTTTTTTCTTTTTTCCCCTTATGTTTAGGTTTTAATCATTTCTGCTGTGATTTCTGATTAGGTTTTGATTGTTATGGTCAGGAGCTGGTGGACTGGGAGTATAAGAGAAGATTGGAAGGAAAAATGCATGCATGTGGTCATGATGCTCATGTAACTATGGTTCTTGAGGCAGCTAAACTACTTCATAAGGCAAAGGATCGATTAAAGGTTAAAATCCTCTTCTTATATTTGATCTTGAACAAGTTAATCAAATCAACATTGTTTGATTACTATTTTTCAATTGCCCATACAAGACTTGGTTTTTTTGCCAAAAAAGGTTGTTAGACTAGTATCTTTTCTGTTCGATTCTTTTATGAATCCCAAAACTTAAAATTAGAAACTTACAGGTATTTCTCCTGTTGTTTCTTAATGGGATTAGGACATCATATGTCGTGTGCCTTTCGCTATAATCTTCTATAGAATACGAAGGGGTTAGTGTGCTAACCCTGTTTATGCATGATGTAATAAATGAATGGAACATCTATATCTTTCCAATACTCATGATAAGATTAGTGAACACACAGGAAACGTTATTAGGACCCTCACAAGGTTTTGAGGACGAATGGTAAACTCTTGTCACTTTCATTTCCCACATTTTGGATACGTAAAGGAGCCCATTTTTTGAATATACAAGGACACCCTTGAACAAATCATCAATGCCAAAAATAATAACTTATATACTTACATCAAAGGTATGTTAAGTAATCCTAACCCTCCCTGTCAAGCTGACATGGTGACATGGTAACATGGGAATCTTGTCTTTGTTATGAGAGGATTTCTTTCAGGGGATAGCCTTGGTCATAATCTGCCACTTAATTGGAGGTCTATGTATAGTTTCATCATCACGAAGCATATCTTTTTTATAGTGGTGATCCACACCCAGATCCAGATGTTTGGTCTTCCCATGCTGTATGAGATTTTTGAGATCTTGATAACACTTTGGTTATGCCAGCAGTGCACCATCTTTGTTGGCATCTTCAGGTGAAAGCACATTTTTTATAATAGATTGGATAAGGATGTAACTTCAAGAAGCTGCAAGGGGCATATCTATACCATGTTCCAGTGCTTAATTTGTCTACACTTCTCTACTTTTTGCTGCTCCATGATACAAGATTCTTTGTAAGAATATCCAAAGGCGGCATTTGATATTCTATCATTAGGACAACATGCTAGTCGACATCAGGGAAATGTGTTAGTTTTAGGCCACCTTGTGGGACACACAAGATCAAAGTTTAGTGTTCCAGTAACATACCTCAATATTCTCTTTTCAGCCTTGACTAGTAATATTCTCTTTTCAGCCTTGAGTAGTGTTTGGAAACAACCCCCCTTCATTGACTAGTAATTTTAGATTCACTTGGGCTGGGGTTCCTAATGGTTTCAGTCCAACATGCTGAATTTCTCAAGTAATTCCATTGCATATTTTGTTGAACTAGAATCAAACCTATTTAGAATCTACGTACTTTGCCAAAGAAATGTTTTGACCTTCCAAGGTCCTTTAATCCAAAGGATGTATGCAAATTTGCTTTTAGATTCTCAATATCCAACATTTTTTTTTGGGTAAATCAGTGACTCAATATCCAACTTGTTGCTTCCAGTAATGATCTTGTCATCTATGTACAAGAGTATGCGGGTTATACCTAAGCTCCCTTTGTTGATGAAAGAGAGTTATTTGCATAATTTTAAACGAACCCCTCCATTTTGAAGACTTGTAAGAATCTGCCAAACCATACTTGGAGCTTGTTTCAATCCTTATAATGCTTTCCTAGGTTCATATATTTTGAGGGAGTTTGTTAGCAACAAAGCTACCATGTTTGACTTCGATATAAAGCACCAATTCCTTCCCGCATGACTTTTTTCCATTGCTAATCTTTAATTGATTATTTGTATGATGTTGTTTATTTTACTTTGTCCTTAAAATTCCCTGCTGATTCAAGAAATTAGCAAGGGAGGCATATTAATCCATTGAATAACGTGAGCTTGGATTTCAAGAATAGTCTAATCTCCTAGGATGGGGAGATGTGAGGAGATAATACAATGTTGTCTAAGATATTGACTACCTATGTGTCTGTTTTGATATTTAAATCAAATAGGAGTAGAACGAGGAGATCACTTTCTTGGTGCATGGCTTGCACTGGGAGAGACTGTCAAGGCGTCCAAATCAAACCTCTCAATTGGAGATGCACTTGCCTCATTACACAATGGTTGCAATCCTTGTAATCATAAGAAGTTGAAGAGGTCATGCACTTATCTTTACATGTTCTCCCCCTTGCACAGACAAATCTATACTTCGAAATCGATCATGTGAATATTATAAGAAGAGTAGTATGGGTTAGCCTCACCAAAGGTAACATAGTGAGAAGTAATCACTCAACTTTGTTGCGGGAATATAGCATCTATCAGCCTCATGGTCATGACTGTAACAACTGAGTACTCCTTCCTATTCTTTGGATAAAAATTTATTGCAAGAATCGATATGCACAAAACGCGTGCAACCAAATGCATAAATCGAGAGTAGTCAACAGTGTTTCCATAAAGTTTATAATAAGGGAGTGGTTCTTGAAAGTATTGGTGAAGGATGGTGAGTAATAAGGTAGTCTGCTGTTATGAAAGGCTCTCCCAACAAGAAAGAAGAGATATGAGCATCAAACATCATAGGTAATGCAGTCTCCACAATGTATCGATTTTTTCGTTCAACCACAATATGTCCATGAAAATTGATGCTGAATTCTATTATAATTCAGAAACTGGTGACAAAAAGTCATGTAACATATATTCTTCCCTATGGTCAGATCTAAAAACTTTAATGTGTTTCCTAAAGTAATCTCCAACCATGGGCTGAAATATTTTAAAACAATCCAAAACTTTGGACTTTTGCCGAATAAAGAAGGTCCAATTATATCTACTATAGTCATCAGTAAAAGAGACATAAAAATGATACCCATACATAGAAGCACAATGTAATGTCCCAAAACATGAGAATGTATTAAGTCAAAAGCATCATGTGTAATATTTTCATCATGCCCATCACAAAAGAAGGGCAGTTGTGCAAGCTTGCCCAATTGACAACTAGTACATGATGAAGTAAACCAAGTAGTACTAAATGAAATTGGGCCCTTATTTTCCAAGTTCTTGTACCTTCAAGCAAGGATTCCAAGTTATCGGTGGCAAAATTCCATGGAAGACTTAGTTGAGAGATTACATTGGGTGGCCATTGTAAGAGTAAAAACATGCTAATCCTCCAAAACTTAAAGCCTTTTTTCTACACCCATTGAGCAATCAGCTTCCCATATCTTGATCCTTAACAACATAAAGATTTGGAAAGAATTCGAATTTGCATTTAACGCCAGATGTAAGTCCACATACAAATATTAAATTCCTTTTAATTTTGGGAATTGCAAGAACATTCTGTATTTGCAGGAACATTCCGTATTTAAGAAGTTGATCTTGAAGCTCTTACTATGAAGGCAGTGCAAGTGGAAATATATCATTTTCTAATTTTGGAAAGTTGGCAAATACCTCTCGTAATTACGAAAGATAGGGATCAAATATTCAAAGAAAGGATAAGGATGTTGTTAGGTAAGTGAACTAACAATCAATTTGTCGCTATTGGTTACAACCTTCTATGCGATAGCTAGATCATCACAAATGGCCTTAAGAAATAGATGAAGACCCATACTTATAGTTTTGTAAGTCCATATCTGGTTGCGTTTCTCTGGCCTTTGATATTTCAGCAAATAGTTTTCTAAAGCAACCCAAATGCCTTGAGCAGTTGAGTGATCAGCGACATGTTTCATATTCTAGATTAAGTTAGAGTGCTTCATGGGTTTGGTCAATCGTCGGTTTTTCGAAGAGATACGATGGATGACAAGGCCCTAACCCCATCAAGAAATCCAACAATATCTTGGCTGTGTGTAACTCGGTAAAGCTGGTTTTGTCATAGAAAAATAGTTTGAGTTGTCCAATTGGATAGGAGGGCAGCCACATTTGATGATACTATGACAGATAACACAAAGATGGCAAGAATTCTAGCGGTTTGTACAAAAATGAATAAAGAGAAATTCTGGTTAGAGGTTTCAAGGTTTCAAATAGACAAAGAAGATATTTAGAGAGAGAAAGAATGAACTTAGAAGTGAGGGATTGTAACTTTTGAAAGCCAATCTTGGGTTTTGCATTTCTTGCCAAAATTTTACACATCAGGACTGCCAAATCTCTTCTTTTTAGGGATGACTCTTTAAAATGAAACAATTTGGGGTTATTGCTTCTTGCTCGTAGAGGATTTCAATCTTCTTGTGAACGTGTTTCAAACTTCCATAAAATGGATAGAGAAGTAGAGATTTCGATCTTCCTGGTGGATGGTTGATGATGGATTTTGGAAGGTTGATGATTCAGCTGCTCCGACTACATGGAGTTTCAATTCACCCCTTTCTCTGACACCATCTCAAGGTTTTAGGTGAGAATAGGGAACTATCGTCACTTTTATTTCGTCACCTCCTGGATACACAATGGAGCCCATTATGGGAAGGTAGAATGATAACCTTAAGCAAATCATACAAATCCAAACAATATCTCAAATGTATGTTCAGTCAAAAATAATAATCTCAAATGTATGTTTAAATATATCCAAACAGTCCCCTATAATTAAACAAGAGAGAAGGATAGTAAATTTAGACTTTTATAATGAAACGCCCAAAGATTTGATTGAAAAAGTCTTTCTGTTTTCCAGTGCAAATCTCCTCTTATTTGATGAAGTATCATATTTTTGCATTAAAAAAAGTGTCGGTCTTTTCATTACTTGGGTTTCTTGACACTTTACTTTGATCCCTTATTCGTGTAATACTAATAGATCTCCAATTTGTGTACCGAGAATTTGTCAAGTCTAAGCTTTTATTACATGTTAGTGAAACAAAAGATCCTTTTATTACATGTTAATTATAGCGATGTTTTGTGGCATTGTGAAGCTTGTTTTCAAGCCAGCTGAAGAGTGTGGTGGGACGTACCATATGATACAAGAGGGTGTTGTAGAGAACATAGAAGCCATTTTTGAGTTAAACGTTGATAATCAACTAAGAACTGGCGCATTAGCGTCAAAACCGGGCCCACTTTTGGCTGCATCCAGTCGTTTTGTTGCCATAATCCAAGGTAAAGGTGGCCATGCAGCCAAACCCCATAAAGCCATTGACCCCGTTCTTGCTGCATCCCATGCTATCCTCAGCCTACAACAGCTTGTATCTCGAGAAACTGATCCTGTTGATAGCCGTGTAATCCTCCTAACTCATTTGATTGTTTTCTCATATTTCTATTTATTTGGAGTTGCTTATTAACCATGTTGTTTGGATGTGAACAATCAGCATGTTTACATATATTAATGCCTTTTATATATTTTCGTTTCATGTGGTTTGAAGTGTTTTGAAACCATGAGCATTCTTTTAACAATCATTGATTTCCTTCTTCTATATTGACACGAGGTATTGATGATGATTGGCCACATTGTCACCCTGCATATGCAGTTCTTTTCCTTGTTAATATTCCTTTCTTGTCCCTGATTGATCTCTCATCTCTTGCTCTATATGTCGTTGTAATCTTAGGTCCTGATATTCTGGTCATCCCCAGTCATAATCCATCCCGGTCCCCTTATGATCAAGCCATTCCTTGTTCTTGTTTTGACATGCTTGATAATAACATGTGTGAGGATGTGGCTACCTATAGATACAAGTAATTTATAAGAGAACTAATAGTAGAACCATTGGCTAGCTACCACTGGCTATGGGCAATGCTCTGTTGTACAATGTTGATTATGAACATTTGCCTCAAGGATGAAGGTAATCGCCATTAAATCTCCTTTTCACAATGGTGGTGTGGTGTAGTTGGAATTAATATAACTACAATGGTATTGAGGATATGATGATGCTGTGCAGCATCTTGAGGATCATTTTCCTTTGAACATCATGTGTCATTTTGTTACTTTTGAGGACTTGCAATTGCGTAGTCTTCTTGCACATCATATTATTTTTCTCAGCATTCCAAGGATCTTGTTGCTCAAATATATCTATTAAACAGCAAAATATATATCATTGTCCTTGAGTGTTATGTACTCTTCTCATCGAATTTCTCATCGAGGTCCTCGACCCCAAATCCATTCCCTCCAAGCTCTGGTTATCTCTTGATGGTAACTTTTACTCCCACACCCCTCCTCCTCTTCGCATCCCAAGCTCTGTCTCTCCCTTATTGTTGACTTAACCTTGCCACCTCTCTCCGTTGCCCCTCCCCAACTCCTCAACCCCACATCTCCTCGACCTTCCTTGCCAAAGTATAAACCCCTCATTTCTATTTGTATCCTCATCATTCCTCTACCCTCATTCCGCCCCTCCCCCTTCTTCAGCTCCTCCCATGCTCTCCATCCTGATGGCCTCCCACTTGTACCTGAAAACCCCGGCCTAGCCCCTCCCTGGTGCCTCCCTTCCTCCTACATTCTCCCCCCTCACTTATCCGTTCTCATCCCCTTTTTGCTTATGAACCCCATGAATGGCTCCATCACCCTTCTTCTCACCCCTTCCTACCTTACCGCACCAACCCTTCGACAATGCCCTCTTCTTCTTGTCCTTCCACTTCTCCAACCCTTGCGCTTCCCACTCTCTTCCCCCCCCCAGCCACGTTCCTTCAATCCACCCTATTCATGCTGGCCTCGCCCCTCACCTCTTGCCTTCCCCCCGCCATGTTCCTTCAATCCACCCTATTCATGCTGGCCCCCCTTACCTCTTACCTTCCCCCCTCCTCCTTTACTCTGCTCTCTCCCTCCCCCTCCCCCTCACCCTCCCATTACCACTCCACCCTGAGCCTCTTGCCCCTCTTCACCCACTCCTCCCTCACCCTTAACCCATCCCCCCAACTTCCCAGCTTCCTGGGACAACCACAACTCCCTTAAGCCAGCCATCATGCCTTCCACCTCAATCAACTCTTGCCCCCTGCGTCTCTTGCTTTTGACTCTGTCAACACTCTTCCCTCTGTGGGTTCCAGCTTTGCCAACAATATGGATAATGCACAAGGTGACATCGACCACATCCTCAGGATTATGGATTTCAAGTTCAACGGCTCCAAAGAAGGATGAGAGGCGTTTTTCCATCCTGTTGCCCAGACCCACTTCCAAGTAAGAAAAAAGGATAGAGGGAACTCTCCACCCTCAACTTTGGGGTGAACTATAATAGAAGCACTACCTCCTCTTCTTGTGCTCGATCGGTGGCCAAAGTCTTAGTGGCCCACCCTACCCCCAGACGATCCTTGAGGCATCTCCTCCTCGCTTAATCACTACAATGAAGTTACCTGTCTAGAACATCAAGGGCCCCCGACAACTCTTAAGAAAATTCCACTCAGCTTTGTTCGACAAGTTTGGGGCAGACTTCCATGTCAGTGGTTAGCACTTGAGGCCAATGGAGCTTCAAGAGGCATCTGGGTCATCTGGGAACCTGCCGTTCATTCCCTCTCATTGTCTCATATCGCCTCTTTCTCTATTATAGTGGTCCTCTCTAGAGTCTTTGATGACTTCTCCTAGTAACTTATCGTTATTTTTGGACCAAATTATGATCAATCAAGAGGTAATTTAGCCAGAGAATGTAGGGAAGCAATAATGAGAGAGAGAAAGAGAGAGAGAGAAATAGAGAGAGAAAGAGAGAGATAGAGAGTGAAAGAGAGAGAGACTCACTAATGAGTGTGAAAGCTACCCTATGTGCCCAAGATTTTCAAGAAAAGAATAGCCCCCATGTCCAGTGTTTCTATTACCGGATAGGGGGACAACTTAAGGAAAAAAATAGGTAGGGGTGCTGCTTGTATTATTGGGCATATTGGATACCAAATGGTAATAGACCACCCAAAATATGGTTCGTATGTAATTTGCTCTAGATTTATTTTCAGAGTAGGAAAAATCTTCAAATGTGAGGAACCTTCGCAAAAATTTGGACTTGGCTTGCCAGTACAATATTCAATTGCAAACAATTGAGTTTCATGTTTGTTTCTCTCATTTATTTGATTTTCTTGGAGACATTTGTTTTAAATTATCTGAGAACCCTAGACAAATTGTAGCAAGTCATAAGGATCTTTTATTTCCTAAGGTTGTGTTTATTTGCTGGAAGATAAACGTTCTCTAGAAAAGAGAAGTTCTTCTTTGCTAGAAAGCGAAATATTATCTTCTAGAAGGTTTATATAAGTTCTGGGTCTTTGTGTTTGACAACTTGTTGGAATGCTAAATTTCTGGCTGCTTGTGTTTGATTACATGTTGAAATGTTGAAGAAGTTTTGGGTACCCGTGTTTGATTCACCCTAGAACTTTTGAACTGGAGACCTGCCAACCCAATTTGGACCGTTTGTTCATTTTTTATTGATATGGGGAAGATATGTCATGTATAAAGGAAACTAGTGTTATATACGTGCGTTGCTCGTGATCTGATTTAGTTATAATTGAATAAATTTTTATTTTGAAATAACATTTTCAAACGACATCATTCAATTAATTAAGTTGTTTTTAATTGAATAAAAATGATTAATTATATTCATGTTAACTATTTTTGACAAATACTATTAATTGATATGAAATATAAAAATATAAAAGTTTCATTCTTTATCATTAACTTTATATATTTATCACTATACAATCAAAATAAAATAAGTAATAATTAATTTGAATATTGATAATTAACGGATGATATTATGATATTATTTGATAATAAATTATTAAAAACAATAAATTATATAATTTATTATTATTGATGAGTGATACTACCCAATTAATTTATGTAATTATCATTATATAACTATACTTGCAATAGAGTATAATGGAGGACCAAGCTTCATGTAGCCAACCTATCAAATTCATGATTTGATGAGAGGAATCAAATAAAATAAATAAGTATTAATACTTACATGTCAATTTACAAAAATGGGATATCAAAAAACAATAGCGACATACCTGGTGTTTCCCCCTGTAAATCACATTAGCAAATTATAGAAATACCATAACAAATCGAACCAAAACTTTCAATTTTTTACTGTAGTAATTCAAAGAAAAATCCTGAACTTTCATTCTAAATCTAATACACTAGTGTATAGGGATCTAAAATTGCTGAAATGTCTCATGCAAAAGGAAAAATTGACTTTCTCTGTCGATTATTACCCACATTTACCCAGTTATTCATGCTACCCAAAAAAAAGAAAAAACATAATGAGCCCCATTTTCCAAATAAAAGGTCAATGTCACAAATATTCAAGCCCAACGATTTACATCTTCATATTGAATCACATAAAAAAATTTATTAATTCAATAAATAAAAGTGCTATTAGGTTAAATGTCAAATGACATAAAATAAAACTCAGTACCTTTCCTTTCAATGCTTTTCAAAATTTGCCGGTGTCAAGATCGCTATGATTAACTTATTTCCTTGGCTTGAAGTGACAAATCCTGGTGAAAGAAAATCATTAAAAAATTATAGAGAGATATATATATTTTAAAAGGGGAAGGGATATTTTAAATTAAAAAGAGATGAGATATTTTGTGTGTGTGTGTGTGTGTGTTTGTGTGTGTGTGTGTGTGTTTGTGTGTGTGTGTGTGTGTGTGTGAGAGAGAGAGAGAGAGAGAGAGAGAGAGAGAGAGAGTAGGGTAGGGAAAGTAA